AGACAACCCCGTAACAATATGCGTTTTGTACTGCTGTTACACAGCACAAAACGCATAAAAATAGCTAAAAGTTTATTTGTTTTTGCTTTTTTTACTAAGCAAACACTTGCTTGCAGTACTAGGAATTCATTTTGTGCATGTGGCTACTTTTCCATTTACTTTAATCTCTCCTAGTGGGGGTCAGGGGTTGGCATTCTTAATGTTCTCTCCTCTCAGTAAGCCTGGTATGTTACACCTGGTGTTTTAAGTTTGTCTTTTCAAATCACCTATTTATTTTTTTCCGAAAGCTGTAATGCTATTTTTGCTTTTCAAATACCTCACTATGCCTGGAAATTAGATTTTTTAAGCTTTCCTCAAAAAAAGGGAGTCATTGACCACTTTGCCATTTGTGTAAATCTAACAAAAAGTACTGTTATCTCTGTGTTGAAATTGTTCAGGTTCTTGTACACTGCAATGCAGGGGTATCACGCTCAGCAACCATTGTTTTATCGTATATCATGCGATACGATAAAATGTCATTACAGGATGCTCGCGAACATGTTAATGCAATTCGGAAAGGTAACACCCTTGTGTTGCATAACTGATAATCATTGAGAGGAACTTGCCAAGTATGCCGAGCGTTACTAATCAGCTTTAGCCTCAGTACCACGACTTATAACTTGGCTTTTAACGACATTAAACTGGCAGTACCGCTTTTATGATAGCAATAGCGACTGGGAAAAAGTGCCGGTATGCGTGAATTCAGGAACACTGGGGCCTGAATCAGGACTGCCAGGACTACTCGAACAGTCTTTGTGGAGATAGGCAGTGGTGTGTTTTGAAATTATATAAAGCAACTTCTTATGGTTTCAGTGGCTCAAAGAGTAAATAATACCAATGCACAAAATTTTTTAGAAAAGTTCTGCATAAGTTAAAAGACTAACTAAAATACTCGAAATTTTAATGCATTTTGTCCAAAAAAGTATTTAATCTTTTATGCAATGGAAATTTTTGTTATTACTTAACCCGAAATTTGATTAAATTACAAGGGATTTTTTTGCGTGCCTAGCTGCTCGACCTTTACTGCATTACCAACAACTGGTCAGGCTGACACTGATTCGTACCATCCGAATTTGGCGGACAGTGTGCGGCAGAATGTCTTCTTGATATGCGTGCAATTGCCGGGGCACTACGCAGCTCTGCCTGGTCTTTTGTCCTGCCACACCACGATGAGGGGCCTCAGTCAGAATTTCATGGGAATTGACTTAAAATCAATTTTGTTGATCGGTCTTAATTGCGAATTAATGCTCACGTCAGAACTACCTTTAGCTTGCTTTTAATGCGGTCCTTCAAAGGTAGTTTTACAAACGGTTAGTACTTTGTGGTGCTGTGTTTTCATTCGTGTTTTCCCCAGGTACCTTCACTTTTGGTAAAATTGAGACTTTTGACTTCTCTTCGAATTTCAGTAAGTGATAGGCAATTAAATGTAGAGTTATTTTTTCAGTGGCGCCAAATCCCGGTTTCATGCAGCAGTTGCTGAGGTATGAAACGAAACTGCGCTACAACGATGGCAGTGGCAAATGATCGTAGCCTTCCCCCTCTTTATTCGACTGCATAATAAATTGTAAATTTCAACCAAATAAATGCCTCGCTGTCTTCTCAACTCATGTTGTTGAATAATTTCCCGGAAAGAATCATTGCCACTCATATTCAGAAATCCCTCAAAGTTTGCATTCCCGAAATTTAAATTCCTGGAAATGGCACAGTTGAGGTATATTTTTTGAAAAGTGTTTGCTTATGTATTGGTAGTAGTTGACCGTTTTGCCAGGGCGGATTGCGATGGGCAGGTTTCTAAAAATTAAGACATTCCCCGGTGCGTCTGCCTCTCGCAGGAAATGTGGTATAGAAGGATTTCCTTTTCGACTTTGGTTTTGGGTCGCTTATTCTAAAGCTGTCAGTGTTTCTGGGCTGCTTTGGTTATATATTGTTTTCCACAGAAAAGGTCTGCTTTTTAATTTTTTCTAATTCGGCCCAATTGCTGCACTTAAGGGAATTTCGTATCGGCTTGTGGCTGCCGCTGGTGACGATCGCGGCGCTCAGCACGTAACTGTATTTCAGCAGCATCGGGAACTCCACACTGACATGTCAAATGATGTTTCTTGTTTCGCCGCATAGAAATATTTAGAATTTTAAGGATTAGTAACTAATGGAATATTTCAGGGAAATGGTGTCTGTTTTTTTTTT